GGCCCACAGACCAATGAGTTGCGGGTTCTATTCCAGTCAAGGGCATGTACCTCTGTTGTGATTCATCCCCGCCCCTGGTCAGGGTCACGCAGTAGGCAGCCACTCGATGTGTCCCTTCTATGTCAGTGCCCCCCCTCCACCCCGTTCCTCCCTCTCCCTTCCACTCTGTCTAAACAAAAATGGAAAAATGTACTCTGGTGAGGATAAAAAGAAAAAATGTAGGTCACATTCCCCAAGTAGGACTTGGTGTGTGGTAAGCACCTTACAATTATAAGCAGGGTATTTCCAGGGCTCTTTGAGCAATAGAGGGCAGATGCTAATAGGATACTGGTTATCCAGTCATATTACATTTCTAGACTAGGGCTTCATATATTTCTGGAGAGATTCATTGAGAACATGATTAAAGCTACAGACCTCCCCTCAGCAAGCTGTAAATACATACACATACAACTCTGTATAGTCATTCTAGGGTTTCATGGGTACCACAGTGCCTTTCCATGAATCCCCAGAGTGTTGGATGGCCTGACTTTTTTTTAAAGTTAATAAGATGCATGTGACCAAAAAATCCAAACAGTCCTAAAGGTCACCTGGTGGAAAGGAAGGTTTTTGTTTTTTTTTAAATCCTCACCTAAGGATACTTTTCCATTATCTTCAGATAGAGTAGGAGGGAGGGAGAGAGAGAGAAACATCCATGTGAGAGAGACACATAAATTGGTTGCCTCCAACAGGACCCCAAACAGGGCCAGGGACCCAACCGTAACCAAGGTACGTGACCTTGACCAGAATTGAACCTGCTGCTCTTTGGTCTGAGGGCCGACGCTCTAATTGCTGAGCCAAACCAGCCAGGGCGAAAGGAAGCTTTTTAACCACTTAGAACTTAGTTTCTCGTTTCTTCTTCCCAGAGGCAACCACTGTTACTAGCTTATTACTAGTTCCAGAGATGATAAAAAAAATTTTTTATCTTGTTGCTCAACTTCATTAATCATGTGTGTATTATATGCTGTTGAGTTGGCTCTGACCCCTGGCAACTCTGTGAATGAGTGATGTTCACAATGTCCTCTTCCTCAACAGCCCTGCTCAGCTCCTGTAGACTCATGCCTATGGCTTCTTTTATGGAGTCAATACATCTCATATTTGGTCTTCCTCTTTTCCTGCTGCCTTCTATTTTTCCCATCATTACTGTCTTTTCCAAGGAACCCTGCCTTCTCATGATGTGCCCAAAGTAGGACAGTTTCAGTTTTGTCATTTTTGCCTACAGTGATGTTTCAGTCTTAATTTGCTTTAGGACCCACTTGTTCATCTTTCTGGTGGTCAAGGGTATTCAGAGAGTTTTCCTCAAGCACCATACTTCAGATGAATCCTTTTTTCCCCCTATTAGCCTTCTTCACTGTCCATCTTTTGCATTTGTACATATTAATTGGGAATCTGAGGGGTGTGTATGATCTTAGTTAGCCTTGGTCTCCAATGACACATCTTAGCTCTTGGTGACCTTTCCTAATTCTTCCACTGCCCTACTTCTGAGTCTTGGCCTTCTCTTGATTTCTTGGTTACAGTCTCCATCTGAACAAATGACTGAAACAAGGTAAGCATTAGTCATTAGGGAAATATAAATCAAAACCACAGTGAGATACTACCTGCTAGCATGGCTAAAATAAAAAAGACAGACAGCCTGGCTGGTGTGGCTCAGTGGTTGAGCATTGACCCATGAACCAAGAGGTCGCCAGTTTGATTCCCAGTTAGGGCACATGCCCAGGTTGTGGGCCCGATCCCCAGTGGGGGGCATGCAGGAGGCGGCCAATCGATGTTTTCTCTCTATTCCTTTCCCTCTCCCTTCCTCTCTCTCTGAAAATCAATAAGGAAAAAAAAAAAAAAAAAAAAGACAAAACTTGGTAAGAATGTGGAGAAATTGGAACCCTCGTGCTTTGGTGTTGGGACAGTAAAATGGTGAGCTGCTTTTCCCCACATTCTCAGCTGCAAAAGGTTAAACATAGTTTCCGTATGACCCAGCAATTCTGGTAGATAGCTACCTAAGAGAGATGAAACCATATGTCCATACAAAAACTTGTGCACCAGTGTTCACAGCAATATTCAGAATAGCAAAAAGTAGAAACAACCCAAGTGTTCATCAACAGATAAACAGAATGTGCTACATCTATGCATTGGAATATCAAATTTATTTAATTTAAACATCCATAAGAAAGAATGAAATACTGATACATGTTACAACGTGGACAAACCTGGAAATGATTTTATTAAATAAAATGTATGATTCCGTTTTTTTAAATGTCCAGAACAGGCATATCTACAGAGATAGAAACACTAGGAGTCAGGAGGAGGGAGGTTGAGGAGGGAAGCAGTAATGGTCATAAGATTTGGGTGATGAAAATGTTCTAACATTAGATTATGGTTATGGTGATGGTTGCACAACTCTAAATATACTTAAAAATTATACACTAAAAATCATTTTGTCTGTTAAAAAACCATTGAACTATATATAGGTGAACTTTATGGTATGTAAATTATATTAATAAAGCTGCTAAAAACACAAATACACAATGGTCATTCTTAGGCATTAAAAAAAAAAATGAGGTTTCACTCCTCTCTCTTTTATTATTACTTTTTGCTACACACAGGGTATTTCATTCACACTGCTCTGGGTCCTGTGTTTTCTCACATCTTTCTTGGCCCTTCTTTCTCTACAGTACTTTTGGATCATTTCATTCTTTTTGCCTGATATTCTATTGTATGGATATTCTGTACTCTATATAACTATCTTTACTTGCTGCATATTAAGGTCATTTTCATTCTTGCACTACACACAGTGATGCCTTCCAAGGATGTTGTACCAATTTACATGACCATCAGTGTCATATGGGAAATAATTTCCCTACATCCTCAGCTGCAAAGAATATTATCATGCTTTGAAAACTATATATTTACTGATTAAAATTTTTTAAATATTTTACATTTATTTTTTAGAGAGAGAGACAGAAACATTGATGTGAGCGAGACATCAATCGGCTTCTTCCTGCATGTCCCCCCACTGGGGACCCAGCGGGGAGCCTGAAACCCAGGCATGTTCCCTGACCAGGAATCCAACCAGGACCTCTTAGTCCATGGGACGACACTCAATCCATTGAGCCACACAGGCTGGGCTATATTTATTCATTTAGAGAGAGAGAGAGAGAGAGAGAGAGAGAGAGAGAGACACACACACACATCAATTTGTTTCACTTATTTATGCATTAATTGGTTAATTCTTGTATGTGCCCTGAATGGGGTCTGAACCTGAAACCTTGTCATATGCAACCTTGGCAGATCCAGATGAGGCTCTAACTGGCCAGGACAATATTATCTTGCTTTTTAATCACTGTCAATCTAATGTGCGAAAACAGTTTTATTTGTACTTTCTAAAGGACTGAAGTAGAGCCATTTTTTTTAATGTTATTTCTGTTCATTAGTTCATTTCCTGGTCTATTTTATTATTTTCTTTTTTTATCCTCACCGGAGGACATTTTTACATGTATTTTCAGATAGAGCGGGAGGGAGAGAGGGAGGGAGAGAGAGAGAAACAGCGTGAGAGAGAGACATCCAGTGGTTGTGCGCCACACGACCCCAACCGGGGCGGGGACAAACTGCACCCGAGATACTTACTGCCCTTAACCGCTGAGCGGGAACCAAACCGGGGAACTCCCCGGTCCGCGGGCCAACGCTCTAACTGCGGAGCCAAACCAGCCAGGGCATTTCCTGGTCTACTTTAGCCTCACCCGAGGACATTTTTTTTTGTTTTTCGTTCGGATAGAGTGGGAAGGAGAGAGGGGAAGAGAGGGCGAGAGAGGAAGAGGGGGAGAGAGCAACATCAACGTGAAAGCGACACATCGAGTGGTCGCCACCGGCAGGACCCAACCAAGGCCGAGGACAAACTGCAACCGAGGTACGTGCCCTTAGCGAGAACCGAACCGGGGGTCTCTCTGGACCGTAGGCCACGCTCTAACCGCTGAGCCAAACCGGCCAGGGCTCCTGGTCTATTTTAGTATGAATTCTTTTATTGCTGTAGTTTTTAACATAGTAAGGCCATCAGACCTTTGTCATATGTTGCAACTATTTTCCTTGTCTTTTTAGTTGTTGCCAGGCAGATATTTTAGTTTTGTGTAGTCTCTTTTTTTTCCCTTGCCTTCTTACTTCTAATTCTAACTCTGCCACTTTCTGGGTGTGTCACTTGGTCTTTCTGAGCCAGCGTACTGCTTTGTATATGGATGGGGTGATGGTGCTGGTGTAAGTTTGATGAGCGTATCCGATTTGAAAGCAAGTGGTCAACGGAAGGTAACGCTAAGCAGCAGGAAGCTGCTCTCCAGAATCCCGGTCCGCGGACGCCCCCTACCTCCTCAGAGGGCGGCCCCCGGAACTGCGCGCGGCCTTGCCTTAACTTCGCGCTCTTCGGCCACGTGAATGGCTCCGCCCCACCTCGCTCCTGACCAATGGACGGGTTTCATAAGGAGTAGGCTCCCGCCTTCCAGACTCCTGGCCAACAGGCGAGCTCCATCTTGCTCGGAGTCTCGCCCGTCATGGATTGGAGCAATAGGCGCCTTCAGTCTAGAACAGGACCCGCCCCCGACGTACGCTGGTCTGCGGCCCGCCGTGCTCGTTCCGGGAGGCGGGCGCAGCGGAGGCCCGTAGAGTCGGATCTCGGGCGGAGGCCGCAGGATTGGGGCGGGCCGCGAGCGGGCGGCCGGGGCGGGACGTCCGGGCCGTGGGGGCGGCGTGGCCGGCGTCTGGGCCGCGGCACAGGGACGGAAGGGGCATCCGGGCGGGGCGGGGGTTGTTCCAAGGCGGCGGACCCGGGCGCTGCCGGCTCCTGAAGGGCGGCTCGGGCCTCTTCTGGCCCGGGCGGGTCCACGGGGCCGCGGGAGCCGGGCGGGCCGCGCGCCGGTCCGGCCCTGCCCTGCGGCCCGCCATCGGCGTTTCGGGCCTCGGGCCGCGGGTCCGGCCGCCATGTGTCGACCTTAAAGCGCCTGTAGTCTTTGAAGCGCTTTGACATCTCTGAAGGGCTTTGTATTGCAAACTAAATCGAAGCGCTTTGTAATCCCGGAAGCGCTTTGACATCGCCGAAGTAGCGCTGTGCAAACCGAAGCGTTTGGTAATCGCGGAAACATATTGGGGCTTAGAAACCGGAAGAAGTGTTTAGTAAATTTTGCAGCGTTTTGACTTCTCCGAAGCGCTTTGACATCTCTGAAATCTAGAGGACTGTGATGGGCAGTGGAAAGAAGGGGGAAAGGTCAGTAAGGCTGGTCCCCTGGCTCTGACCTTCGGGGTTGCCCTCGCCTAGGGAGCCCGGGGATGGCGGGAGTCTGAGGAGGGGCAGCTAAGAGGGGTGGTGTTGGAATCCACGTCTCCTCTACCTTGCAGGTGCCCATGGCGTCGGAGCGGCGCAAGGTCAAGTACCACTGTAGCAGCACTTCGGAAGAGTGTTCCCGCAAGCGCAGTTGCCTCCGGGAGACCAGTGATGTGGCCCCCTCCGGACGGCCAGGACAAAGCTCTGCATCGCGTTCTGGAGGGGTCAGCAGCCCCAAGCGCCTGAAAGCCCAGGACGACGATGTGGCCTGCACACCGAAGTTGCCCTGGGACTCAACCCACCGCAGAAATTCCTCCTCCTCTTCCTCCTCCCATTCCTCTGGCCCAGGTGTGGACGGGGCTGCCTCCAAAGGCTGCCTGATTCAGAGCTCACGGGGTTTCCTTTCTTCTGGGGGATCCCCACTGCGCCCCGCCAACTCTTCTGTAGAAGAAATGGCTTCTCTAGAGGAGGAAACCTGCAGCCTTAAGGTAGGTGGCTGCCGCGCCTTGCAACCAGCAAAGCCCCTTCCACGTGGCTTGAGATGTTGGGGATGGGAATTTTGGTGGAAGGAAAGAGACTAAGATCAATATCTCTGGGGTCTTCCCAGAGGTGTACTTCGTACAAACACAGACTACCAAGCAAGCAGCTGGCCAGGGAGGAGGCCTAAAGTTTCCTGGAGAGGTCGTTTTCAAACAGCGGCACTTTGGAACTACTTGGAAAGCTTTAAAATATTTAGGACTGCCTCCCACCCTGACTTAATTGGGCTAGGGTGTGGTCTGTACTTCCCCAGTTTTAAATGCTGGTCAGGTCCTTGTAATGTGCATCCAGGTTAGAGAATCGCTGAAGTAGAATGTGGATTGCATGCTCAGGAGACACAGATGTGTGTTATTTTAGTGGTAAATTTAGGAATTGTGTCCTTGTACTTTGAACCACTGTGAATCAGAACCAGGAAAAGAGAACTTGGTTTTTGGTATGAATGGTATCCAGAATGTTGGAGTTCTGGTCGGTGGGGCAGGGGTGGTTTTGCAGGTTAAACAGTTAGTTCCCCAATGGGAACATGGGGGAGGGTTTCTGAGTATTTGCAGGCAGACTAAGGAGTGCTTCACAGGAGGTTTACAGCCACTCATTCATTTTATATTAACCTGTTTTTTTGTTTTGTTTTGTTTTGTTTTTGGAAAGGGTAATAAAGTTTTTCCAGCTTTTTTTTATTTTTTATTTTTATCCTCATTTGAGGACATTTTTGAATTTCTCTAGATAGAGCGGGAGGGAGGGAGAGAGAGAGAGAGAGAGAGAAAGAAACATCGATGTGAGAGGGATACATCGAGTGGTTGCCACCCTCACGATCCCAACTGAGGCCCGGGACAAACTGCAACCGAGGTACGTGCCCTTAGTGGAACCGAACCAAGGCTCTGGTCCACAGGTCAACGCTCTAACCTCTAACCACTGAGCAAACCCAGCCAGGGCTTTCCCAGCTTTTTGTGTGTGTGTGAGGGAAAGTTGAACATGAGTCTGTTGGAAGTAGAAGCAAATACACTTCAGTCTCTTGGTCTGCTGGTTTCCCATTAGAGTGGAATGAGTACCAGCTAATATTCACTTATTCAATCAGGGTTTGAACAGATATTTATTGAGAGCCTAGTTTGTGTCAGGCAGTGTTCTGGTTGCTTATGATTCTCCAGTAACAAAACAAATCACTGCCCTCTTAGAGTTTACATTTTAGGTTTTGGAGCTCTGGGCTTTAAAAGGGGAGGAGTTCTGCCCTGGCCATTTTGGCTCAGCGGTTAGAGCCTCAGCCTGCGGCCCAGAGAGACCTGGGTTCAGTTCCCGCTAAAGGCGCGTACCTCGGTTGCAGTTTGTCCCCGGCCCTGGTTGATCGTGCAGGTGGCAGCCGCTCCATGTGTCCCTTTCACGTCGATGTTTATCTTTCTCTCTCTTCTTCTCTTTCCCTCCCACTCTGTCTGAACAAAAAAATGGAAAAATGTCCTCGAGTGAGGATAAAAAAATAAATAAAAGGGGAGGAGTTCTGCATGTGGAAGAGTGGAGGTGGGAGAGGGGAAGATGGGCTGTCCGTAGAAAAGAGTTATCTTACAAAAGCAATAAAAACAAAGTCCCAAGGAAAGTGGGTTTGTCTTTAGGTCTGATCATTGGTTTCTTATATGGAACTGAAAAATGTAGTATTTGGCTTTTTATCTTGGGGAACTCTTGGGCTAAGTGCCCAGGCCAGGTGTTTTCAGTGTGGACCTTGTAGAACTCTTGTATGGGCATGTGGATTTTTAAAGATTTTAATGGTGAATCGAAAAGCTTTGTCTTTGACATAAGCATACTGAATATGACTCATATATAAACAAGGTGAATGTGAAGCTTTGCTCATACAATTTAATCTTGTCTTTAATCCTTCTTGATGGAATTTCAGTGGATGTGGGTACAACATAAAATACTATCAATTAATTAAATTTAACTTCTATGGCAGTTCCAGGTAGATTGAAGCCTGGTATTAGGAGGGGTAGAAAAATTAACCTTGCTTAATCTTTGGGGTGTGCTGCATTCCTGGCTCCCGCAGCCCTGCAGATCAGGAACTCAAGACGTAAGGTGTGGCCTCTAAGCCAGGTAGGTCTAATGTTAGCATGGACCCACCTTTCTCTCATTTAGCCCTAAAGTGTCTTTTGTCAAAATCAATTTAATGGTTAACCATAGAGCAATGAATAGTCCGAGCATGTCTCAGAAGAAGCCTTTGGGTTCACCAGTGCCTCAATTTCGGTCAATAAGCATTTGAGGGTGGTTGTATGCCAAACACTGTCGGATCTTGGAGCCATGAGATGGCTTCTGAGGGGCAGTCTGTTGGGAGAGTTGGAGAAGTCATGAGGCTGTCTCATGATGTGGTATGGTGGAGCAAAGAGCCCAGAACAGAGGCTGGAGAGGTGGGTAGGGGGGCAGATTACTGCAGGGTTTTATTAGCCAAAGGAATGTGGATTTTATTCTAAGCCATTAGAGAGTTTAGACAGAACTCTACAAAGAGGGAAGGCAGATTTGCATTTTTGAAAGATCACTCATGTTGAGTGAGATTAGAATATGAGGATATGGATATTGTCAATCCTAATTGCCCATCTCTAGTACTGCTAAGGGCTCTCCCTAGAGTGTATTTGTTCGAAAACAAGGTGTACAGTGTTTTACTTATTTGATGAATTACAAAATGCCTCTCTTACCTTCCCCTCAATCTGTATCTCTTCCCCCTTTACTCTGCAGTCATGTTTGAACTTGTTGGTCTAATAAGTCCTGTCAGCAACCACAGCTTAGGGCACTTACAAAAAATGGCATGTTCTTCCCCTAGATCCTTCCAAGGTCCCCTCAGCACTTTTGTACCTTCTACCCACACATCATTTGCTCTTCTATGTTTGCTTTGTGACCTTTGAGGGATACACACTTGGCTTTGTATGTGGTCACCCCTGTCCCCCTTTCTGCTGCCTCAGCACAGAGGCCTCTATGCCAGGTCATAGAATATTCAGGGGAAGATGTTTGTCTTATCCCATGGTGGCTGCTATAACAAAGCACCACAGACTGAGTGGTTTATAAACATCAGGAATTTATTTCTCACAGTTCTGGAGGATGGGAGTCTGAGATCACAGTGCCAATATGATCAGGTGATGGCTATCTTCAGTGTTGCAGACTTTTCATTTTGTCCTCACATGACAGAAAGGATCATGGGAGCTCTTTTGGGGCCTCTTTTATAAGAACATTTCTAAGGGCTTCACTTTCATGACCTAATCATTTTCCAAAGGCTCCTCCACCTGGTACCATCACCTTGGGGTCAGATTTCAACATGAATTTGAGGGGGGACACATTAAGACCTTAGGTAGAGTGGGGCATTTTGGAATCATTAGAGATATTTGCTGGCCAGCCTCAATTGTTTGTTCCTATCACCTCTAGGACAGTTGTTTGAGAGGTTTTCTCAAGTTCTAAATCTAGCTAATGATCTTTGTTTATAGAGAAGGTTTGTAGAGAAAGGATGGCAGGGAGCTTGTTAGGAACCCTTGAAATTGTTCAGGCTGGGCGCTCTCCGTCTCAGGAACACACCTGAGGCCCATCCCCTCCCAATTTCCTACCCCGCCTGTTACCTTTTATTTTGCCTCTGTTAATTTGTTCCCTGAGCCCATTTTTTCTACAGCTCGCTTCTTCTACCTCTGACTTTCTAAATAAAAAAAAGAAATCATTCAGGCTGGCAGTGATGAGAGCTGGAACAACATCTCCACTTAATCTTTTCCTCCTGCCTGCCTTCAGAAATGTATAATTCACTAAGTAGTACTGCCAAAAAACCCCTAAATCTCTCCTTTTTTTAAAAAAAGTTCTCATCTGAGGATATGTTTATTGATTTTAGAGAGCGAGAGGAAGGGGGAGAGAGAGAGAGAAAGAATCATTAGTCAGTTGCTTCCTGTACACACTGCAACTAGGGATCAAACACTCAACCTTTTGGTGTACAGGACAATGCTCCAGCCAGCTGAGCCACCCTGCCAGGGCTAAATCTCCTTTTCAAAGCCATGTGGTTTGTCTCTGCTCTTGTACTTTCTGCTTAGTCTTGACCTTTATAGCCTCTTACCCACTGTTGAAACTCGTCTTCAGTGATTGTAGGTTCTCGTTGTCTTTAACATCTCAGCCTTTGATACTCTTTCTCAACTTTCGTATTTTCCCTATTCTCCCTTGGTTTCCAGGATGGTAGAGGGAACTTGAATTTGAATTCTGCTTCTGCCATTTACAATCCATGTACCAGTGTACCTCTCTGTAAAGAGTGGGTGACAGCTGTGGCAGCTCTGTAAAATGTAAGTCCGTATGAAAATGTAAGGTATGGCCCTAGCTGGTTTGGCTCAGTGGTTAGAGCGTCGGCCTGTGGTCCAGAGAGATTCGGGTTCGATTCCTGCTAAGGGCGTGTACCTCAGTTGCAGTTTGTCCCCGGCCCTGGTTGGGTATGTGGGTGGCGGCCACTCAATGTGCCCCTTTCATGTCGATGTTTCTCTCTCTCTCTCTTCCTTTCCCTCCCTCCCGTTCTATCTGAACAGAAAATGGAAAAATGTCCTTGAGTAAGGATAAAAAAAAATGTAAGGTACTTTTTTTTTTTTTTTTTTGATTTTTAATCCTCACCTGAGGACACTTTTTGCATTCATAGAGCGAGAGGAAGAGAGAGAGAAACATCGACGTGAGAGAGACACATCGACTGGCTGCCACCCACGCAACCCCAGCTGGGGTCAGGGACAAACTGCAACTGAGGCACGTGTCCTTAGTGGAAACCAAACCAGGGTCTCTCTGGACCGTGGGCTGATGCTCTAATCAGCCAGGGCTAAGCTATGTTATTACAGTTGGCCCTCGTTCATCGTGGTTGCCGCAATAAGTGAATTTCCGCGAAGTGGGATTCTTTCTTTATAAATCAAATATTTTCGCAGTTAGAGCATAGAAAAACCTATTTACGACCTTCTAAATACATTTTTTAACATTATTAGAGCCT